GCGCCGAGGTCCAGACCAGACCAGGGGCGCAACAGGGAGGCGGAGAATAGGTGGTTGTCACGCCCGGAGCCGGATCCGCCTCCGAGGCGGAATGCCCACCCGGCCCCTACCCTGTTAAGTAAAGATTGTGCGGTCGGAGTCCGCACCTTTGGGGGGGGGGGTACTGTCACGCCCTGACTCTGGGGACTCTTATTTGTTGAGTCAGGGTGTGATTTTCTATGTGGTATAGATCTATGTATTATCTAGTATGTCTAGATCTATGTTGGCCGGTGTGGTTCCCAATCAGAGGCAGCTGTCGCAAGTAGTCTCTGATTGGGGACAATACTTAGGCAGCCGATTGGCACTAGTGGGTTGTGGGATCTTGTTCCGGTTAAGGTATGTTGTGTTGTGTTGCCTTGGACTTCACGGTTCGTTGGTTTATCGGTTGTTTATTCATTTAAATAAACATGCACGTATAACACGCTGCGCCTTGGTCCGACCAGTCTGTAAACGAACGTGACACATGTCTTTGTCAGTGGGCAAACGTACAAAATCCGCAGGGGATCAAATACTTTTTTTCCTCACTGTATATACCGCATTCTATTCTATAATATTCTACTGTATCTTAGTCCATGCCGCTCTGTCATTGCTTGTCCATATATGTATATATTCTTAAATCCCATTCCTTACTAGTTTTGTGTTTTTTAGGTATATGTTGTGAAATTGTTAGATATTACTTGTTAGATATTACTGCACTGTCGGAGCTAGAGGCAAAAATTATTTCGCTACACCCGCTATAACATCTGCTAAACACGTGTATGTGACAAATAAAATGTGATTTGATTTAGCCCTGTATCCACGATATGGCAGAGGTTGAAAAGCCATAACACATAAGTATCTCAACAACAGGTTATGGTCAATAATATCATAGGCTGCTTTGAAATCTAACAGTACAGCTCCCACAATCTTCTTATAATCAATTTCTTTCAACCAATCAGCAGTCATTTGTGTCAGTGCAGTACATGTTGAGTGCCCTTCTCTATAAGCATGCTGAAAGTCTGTTGTTAATTTGTTTACAGAGAAATAGCCTTGTATTTGGTCAAACACAACTTTTTCAAACAGTTTGCTAAGAGCTGGCAGCAAGCTGATAGGTCTGCTGTTACAACCAGTAAAGGCCGCTTTCCCACTTTTGGGTAGCGGAATAACTTTGGCTTCCCTCCGGGCCTGAGGACAAAGACTCTTCTAGGCTCAGATGAAAGATATTACAGATAGGATTGGCTATAGAGTCATCTACCATCCTCAGTAGCTTTCCATGTAAGTTGTCAATGCCAGGAGGTTTGTAATTATTGAGAGATTTTTTTTTATCCACCTCTCCCACACTAACTTTACAAAATTCAAACTTACAATGCTTTTCTTTAATTATTTGTTTTTTTATGCATGAGCACGAAGGCTCACTGTTCGTTGTTAGCATTTCCTGCCTAAGTTTGCCCACTTTGCCAATCATTAAAATAATTGGCAACATCAAATGGTTTTGTGATGAATAAGCCATCTGATTCGATGAAAGATGGAGTTGAATTTGTCTTTCTGACCATCATTTCATTTAAAGTACTCCAAAGTTTTTATATCATTGATCATAATACAGTTTCTTCTTCTTTTTGTAGAGTTTAGTCACATAATTTCTCAATTTGCAGTAAATCAGCCAATCAGATATGCAGCCAGACTTATTAGCCACTCCTTTTACTCCATCTCTTTCAACCATACAGTTGTTCAAATCCTCATCATTCCATGGAGCCTTAACAGTTCTAAAAGTCAGTTTCTTAACAGGTGCATGTTTATTAATAACTGGAAGAAGCAATTTAATAAATTCATCAAGTGCAGCGTCTGAATGCTCCTTATTAATCACATCAGACCAACAAATATTTTTAACATCATCCACATAAGAGTCACAGCAAAATATGTTGTATGATCTCTAATACATTTTAGGCCAAGCTTATGAACTTTGGAACAATATAGCCACTACAGTGGGGAAAAAAAGTATTTAGTCAGCCACCAATTGTGCAAGTTCTCCCACTTAAAAAGATGAGAGAGGCCTGTAATTTTTTATCATAGGTACACGTCAACTATGACAGACAAAATGAGAAAAAAAAATCCAGAAAATCACATTGTAGGATTTTTTATGAATTTATTTGCAAATTATGGTGGAAAATAAGTATTTGGTCAATAACAAAAGTTTCTCAATACTTTGTTATATACCCTTTGTTGGCAATGACACAGGTCAAACGTTTTCTGTAAGTCTTCACAAGGTTTTCACACACTGTTGCTGGTATTTTGGCCCATTCCTCCATGCAGATCTCCTCTAGAGCAGTGATGTTTTGGGGCTTTCGCTGGGCAACACGGACTTTCAACTCCCTCCAAAGATTTTCTATGGGGTTGAGATCTGGAGACTGGCTAGGCCACTCCAGGACCTTGAAATGCTTCTTACGAAGCCACTCCTTCGTTGCCCGGGCGGTGTGTTTGGGATCATTGTCATGCTGAAAGACCCAGCCACGTTTAATCTTCAATGCCCTTGCTGATGGAAGGAGGTTTTCACTAAAAATCTCACGATACATGGCCCCATTCATTCTTTCCTTTTCACGGATCAGTCGTCCTGGTCCCTTTGCAGAAAAACAGCCCCAAAGCATGATGTTTCCACCCCCATGCTTCACAGCAGGTATGGTGTTCTTTGGATGCAACTCAGCATTCTTTGGCCTCCAAACACGACGAGTTGAGTTTTTACCAAAAAGTTAAATTTTGGTTTCATCTGACCATATGACATTCTCCCAATTCTCTTCTGGATCATCCAAATGCACTCTAGCAAACTTTAGACGGGCCTGGACATGTACTGGCTTAAGCAGGGGGACACGTCTGGCACTGCAGGATTTGAGTCCCTGGCGGCGTAGTGTGTTACTGATGGTAGGCTTTGTTACTTTGGTCCCAGCTCTCTGCAGGTCATTCACTAGGTCCCCCCGTGTGGTTCTGGGATTTTTGCTCACCGTTCTTGTGATCATTTTGACCCCACTGGGTGAGATCTTGCGTGGAGCCCCAGATCGAGGGAGATTATCAGTGGTCTTGTATGTCTTCCATTTCCTAATAATTGCTCCCACAGTTGATTTCTTCAAACCAAGCTGCTTACCTATTGCAGATTCAGTCTTCCCAGCCTGGTGCAGGTCTACAATTTAGTTTCTGGTGTCCTTTGACAGCTCTTTGGTCTTGGCCATAGTGGAGTTTGGAGTGTGACTGTTTGAGGTTGTGGACAGGTGTCTTTTATACTGATAACAAGTTCAAACAGGTGCCATTAATACAGGTAACGAGTGGAGGACAGAGGAGCCTCTTAAAGAAGAAGTTACAGGTCTGTGAGAGCCAGAAATCTTGCTTGTTTGCAGGTGACCAAATACTTATTTTCCACCATAATTTGCAAATAAATTCATTAAAAATCCTACAATGTGATTTTCTGGGGAAAAAATTCTCAATTTGTCTGTCATAGTTGACGTGTACCTATAATTAAAATTACAGGCCTCTCTCATCTTTTTAAGTGGGAGAACTTGCACAATTGGTGGCTGACTAAATACTTTTTTTCCCCACTGTATATTGTGATCACTGCATCCAATGGGTACGGATACAGCGTTAGTATCAAGTTCTACAGTATTAGTAAAAATGTGATCAATACATGTGGATGATCTTGTTCCTGTAGTGTTTGTAAACACCCTGGTAGGTTGAGTAATAACCTGAACCAGATTACAGGCACTGGTTACAGTGAGAAGTGTCCTCTTGAGTGGACAGCTTGATGAAAACCAGGTCCCTCTCTATTTACATCACATACACTATCAAGCATTTCAGACATATTATTTAGATACTGACTGCTAGCACTTGGTGGCCTATAGCAACACCCAAAAAGAAAAGGCTTTAGATGTGCCAGGTGAACCTGCAACCACAACACTTCAATAACACTTGACATATGATCTTCTCTAAGCATTACAGGGATATGGCTCTGAATATATATACAGCAACACCTCCCCCATAAGCAGTCCTGTCTCTTCTTATCCTTGTATTGCTACTGCTGTATCATCAAATTCATTATTTATGTGAGTCTCAGAAATGGCTAATATATTAATGTTATCTGATGTCAGCAAGTTATTGATTTCATTAAGCTTATTTCTAAGGCTACATATATTAATATGGGCTATTTTCAGCCCTTTCCTGGGTAGCAAACAAAGCAAGAGAAAAAAATATACAGTACATTCAGCAGTCCATTAATTAGTTGGTGTGTATAAGTGTGTGTGTGTGCTGTGGGGTTGAAGCTACGAACCCATAGGCTTGGCTCTCTCATCCCTTCCAGGCTTTTGATAGGGAGGGTGGACAATGAGCCTGTCAAATCGGATGTAAGCAATGTCCCCACGTGCTCTGGCAGCTTTCATGGTTGGGATAAATTCTTTCCTCTTCTGGCGCACAGCTTTAGGATAATCCTTGTTAAGGAAGATATATGTTCCTCTCAAGTTCTTGGCTCTTTCCAGAACAGCTACCTTGTCATCCCTCCAGGATTCCGCGATTCTGTGATCGCATAGTTCAATGCAAAATCAACCAATCAGTGCATATTATGCGAGAGCTGGCAATTTTGACCAATCCCCGCACTTTTAGTGCATAAAAGTGTCCAATCAAAAGCGGGTTTGTAATTTTGACCAATTACTGCACTGTTACTGTGGAAAATGGCCCAATCCAACCACACGTAAACAACGTTTTTTCCCCCTGGCCTGTCAGCGTATTCACGTGCGAAGATGATGGCTGATTATTGATGGCTGACAGGCAATACAATGAACAGAAATCAATCTCATTTGCCAACAAAAATAATAGCTAAAGACCGTGCAAAACAATTTCCAAATGTTTTACATTAAAGGGGGAGGAAATTGTTTTATGCTCCATGCAAAGTTGTGCTGGAACACAAGAGAAAGTCGACAATCAACAGTCACTTCGAATCAGCAAAGCATATGACATTGTCAGAACAGTTCCCACAGCAGCGGCAGATCACCATGACTGAAGTGGTAGCAGGGAAGACTGTGGCAAGCGCTGAAAGAATCAAGGTGAGTGGTTTTACTCAAACTTTTCCTCCGCTAACCTTGGCTTTAGTAGGGTGGTCTGCACTCTGCTCTCCCCAGTCTGTCTGTGGAGAGCGCTCCTCAAAGCACTGAGTGCAATTTGTCAGCTTTGCCATTTTAAACTCTGTAAAACTTCATACGGATCTCGAAAGCACAATCTTTCTGGATTTTTTTAGAAATGGTAATACTGTTTTAAAAGTACATATCAACCACAATACTCTGTTTTCTGTTCTTTTTCTGCCTTATGATCCTTTCAGAAAAAAAAGTATTTTGAAGACAACTTATGCAAAATAAATATTGATCCTCAAATTGAAAGCGATTGATCAGCTTTGAATCTATATGTTTTTTTTTGAGAGAGAGAGAGAGAGAGTGGGAATGGGAGGTGCATCTCGTGTTGATAGCAAGCCCCAACCCTGATGGAGAGGAGAGGTGTGTGTGAGTGAGTGAATGTGTGAGTGGATTAACAAATATTTATTTTATCTAATTAATTGGTGCAATTGTTATTTTTCAGATTTGTGAAGATTGGGTACGCACTTGCACAGCAGTCAGCATGCCCCTTTCCAAAAGTGATCAACCCTCAACGAGGCAGTTTCTGAAGGAGAAAGTCATCAATGTAGGTGCCATCCCTGGAGACCACCAGCTACAGGAAAAGTATTTGGGAGATGTCTACTCAAGCAGCATCTTGCAGGGAAACCAGTGGCAGTCATCTTTGATGAAACTCCAGAAATGAAGGTAGATGTGTACTAAACATCCTCATCGCACCACTTGAAAAGGATACCTCGGGGAGAATTCTTGCCTACCTCGCAGAGACAGTGTTTCTGGAGCAGTGCAACCATTCAACAGTTTCTATGGCGGTGGTGAAATGTCTACAAGACTACAATATCTCCAATGATGATGTCATTGTCTTTGACACAGACAATGCTGCGTACATGAATAAAGCCTACAAAGCTAAACTTCAGTCATTGTTCCCCAACTCCCCTGTAGCTCAGCTGGTAGAGCACGGTGCTTGTAACGCCAAGGTAGTGGGTTCGATCCCTGGGACCACCCATACACAAAAAATGTATGCACGCATGACTGTAAGTCGCTTTGGATAAAAGCGTCTGCTAAATGGCATATTATTATTATTATTATGCATGGCTCACATCATGAATCTGATAGGGAGTGCTTTCCGCACACCTTTTGATCAGCTGAACGCATTCATGCTAAATTTTTCGCAGATGTTTTACCAGGCAGGGGCACGCAAAAGAAGATTACATTTACATTTACGTCATTTAGCAGACGCTCTTATCCAGAGCGACTTACAAATTGGTGCATTCACCTTATAGGGTGTAGGGGGTAGAAGGATTACTTTATCCTATCCCAGGTATTCCTTAAAGAGGTGGGGTTTCAAATGTCTCCGGAAGGTGGTGAGTGACTCCGCTGTCCTGGCGTCGTGAGGGAGCTTGTTCCACCATTGGGGTGCCAGAGCAGCGAACAGTTTTGACTGGGCTGAGCGGGAACTATGCTTCCGCAGAGGAAGGGGAGCCAGCAGGCCAGAGGTGGATGAACGCAATGCCCTCGTTTGGGTGTAGGGACTGATCAGAGCCTGAAGGTACGGAGGTGCCGTTCCCCTCACAGCTCCATAGGCAAGCACCATGGTCTTGTAACAGATGCGAGCTTCAACTGGAAGCCAGTGGAGTGTGCGGAGGAGCGGGGTGATGAGAAACAACTTGGGAAGGTTGAACACCAGACGGGCTGCGGCATTCTGGATGAGTTGTAGGGGTTTAATGGCACAGGCAGGGAGCCCAGCCAACAGCGAGTTGCAGTAATCCAGACGGGAGATGACAAGTGCCTGGATTAGGACCTGTGTCAGGCCGGGTCGTACCCTCCGAATGTTGTAGAGCATGAACCTACAGGATCGGGTCACCGCCTTGATGTTAGCGGAGAACGACAGGGTGTTGTCCAGGGTCACGCCAAGGCTCTTCGCACTCTGGGAGGAGGACACAACGGAGTTGTCAACCGTGATGGCGAGATCATGGAACGGGCAGTCCTTCCCCGGGAGGAAGAGCAGCGCCGTCTTGCCAAGGTTCAGCTTGAGGTGATGATCCGTCATCCATACTGATATGTCTGCCAGACATGCAGAGATGCGATTCGCCACCTGGTTATCAGAAGGGGGAAAGGAGAAGATTAGTTGTGTATCGTCAGCGTAGCAATGATAGGAGAGGCCATGTGAGGATATGACAGAGCCAAGTGACTTGGTGTATAGCGAGAATAGGAGAGGGCCTAGAACTGAGCCCTGGGAGACACCAGTGGTGAGAGCACATGGTGCGGAGACAGCTTCTCGCCACGCCACTTGGTAGGAGCGACCGGTCAGGTAGGACGCAATCCAAGAGTGAGCCGCGCCGGAGATGCCCAGCTCAGAGAGGGTGGAGAGGAGGATCTGATGGTTCACAGTATCAAAGGCAGCAGACAGGTCTAGAAGGACAAGAGCAGAGGAGAGAGAGTTAGCTTTAGCAGTGCGGAGAGCCTCCGTGACACAGAGAAGAGCAGTCTCAGTTGAATGACCAGTCTTGAAACCTGACTGGTTTGGATCAAGAAGGTCATTCTGAGAGAGATAGCAAGAGAGTTGGCTAAAGACGGCACGCTCAATAGTTTTGGAAAGAAAAGAAAGAAGGGATACTGGTCTGTAGTTGTTGACATCAGAGGGATCGAGTGTTGTTTTTTTAGAAGGGGTGCAACTCTCGCTCTCTTGAAGACGGAAGGGACATAGCCAGCGGTCAAGGATGAGTTGATCAGCGAGGTGAGGTAAGGGAGAAGGTCTCCGGAGATGGTCTGGAGAAGAGAGGAGGGGATAGGGTCAAGCGGGCAGGTTGTTGGGCGGCCTGCAGTCACAAGTCGCAAGATTTTATCTGGAGAGAGAGGGGAGAAAGAAGTCAAAGCATAGGGTAGGGCAGTGTGAGCAGGACCAGCAGTGTCATTTGTCTTAACAAACGAGGATCGAATGTCGTCAACCTTCTTTTCAAAGTGGTTGACGAAGTCATCCACAGAGAGGGAGGAGGGGGGGGGGGGGGGGGGGGGAGGAGGATTCAGCAGGGAGGAGAATGTGGCAAAGAGCTTCCTAGGGTTAGAGGCAGATGCTTGGAATTTAGAGTGGTAGAAAGTGGCCTTAGCAGCAGAAACAGATGAAGAAAATGTAGAGAGGAGGGAGTGAAAAGATGCCAGGTCCGCAGGGAGTCTAGTTTTCTTCCATTTCCGCTCAGCTGCCCGGAGCTCTGTTCTGTGAGCTCGCAATGAGTCATCAAGCCACGGAGCTGGAGGGGAGGACCGAGCCGGCCGGGAGGATAGGGGACATAGAGAGTCAAAGGATGCAGAAAGGGAGGAGAGGAGGGTTGAGGAGGCAGAATCAGGAGATTGGAGGGAGAAGGATTGAGCAGAGGGAATAGATGATAGGATGGAAGAGGAGAGAGTAGCGGGAGAGAGAGAGGATGGAAGAGAGCAACTATGGCTCTCAATCCATGTGCAACACGCTGGCACTCATGGTTCTCAGCAGTGCAGTACCACTCAGAGCAGTTTGGCCTCCACAAGGGGTTCATAGAGATGGAAATACAGGTATGATTTAAATCTACATGCATTCTAAAATTGCTTAAGTCATTGTCATTTATATCATTGTAATTATGCATTTTTTGTAAGCCGTGATGGCATTTCACAGTGAAGATAAGTCATTTCTTATGTTCCTCTTTTTTATTCATTGTCATTCACAAGTGTGTGGCCGAAGTGCACCACAGTATGTAGAGAAACTCCATGAGATGCTACAAGACCAAGAGCTGGTTCAGTTGCTGTAGATTCAGCTGAACATCATGGCAGACAAGTGCAAAGTCATCCTGCAGCTTCTCGAAATCTTCCAGAGCAGACGCCCCGTGACAACAAAGATCTTTCACTATTTAGAGGACTTGCAGATGAACATTGCAGCCAACAAAGAACTACAGTATGAGGCTTGTTCACACTACTTTGACGCAGTTGACGACTTGCCCTTTGCTGTGAAAACAAACATCTTGAGCACTGTTGAAAAGGCATACAGCAATGCAGAGGAAAAACGTACAAAGCACATTTCTGATGGACAGCCTGCCATGGAGTTCCTCCAAGAAGTTAGGGTGATCGATCCACGTCACATTGCGTTTATGGATGACAGTTTCCAGCTACAAGGCTATTCCAGACTTCAGTAAGGTACCGAGATATGAACTGGATGCCTACTTGACCAATGTAGGACAAGCAGCACTGAGAGCCACAGTGAGTGGAGTTGTGGATTTGGATATCTTCTGGGATGGACTTCAAGAGAGACTTCCTGTGCTGAGCACCCTGGCCAAACGCTACAAAGATGCAGTCTCAAACTCAGCTGATGCTGAGCGAAGCAACAATACCTACACGCTTGTGTTGTCCAGCTGTAGGCAATCAACCTCTAACAACAACCTACGAGCCTTGGTCTTCATGTACCAAAACCAACGACTCCACAGTGGAGCAATTGATATGGAGGAGGATAGGGATGATTACATTGAGATATAGGCCTAGATGATGTGGGGATCTATTTTCTTACAACTAGTTGTGATGCCTAGCTTAGAAAGAATACATTAATGATTAAACATAATAGGTTTGTGCTGTACTGATATAGATTGTTTAACATAACAAGCTGTGATTAATGTGAGGAACAGTTAGGGGGTAGGCTGAGACAGACTTGTGACCACATACACACACACTGCCTCTTTGTTAAACCGCTCAAGGACAAAGTACTGCAACATGAAGAAGAGAACTGTGTCTGGGGTTGCTGACTCGAGACAAGTTGTGAAGATAACAGCTAATGCCTGGCAACAGTGAAGCGCTAAGGGGCTGGGACCAGCCTGTGCGCCAACGATAGGCTGAGTAAGTCTAAACCACGCTCAGTCTCTACTCTGATAGGCCTGCTTGGAGCAGGAACTATCTCTGTCAGAGTATTAAAATAATAATTTTGGGTTGGGACAGTTAGTTCTCTGACTGCCCTGCGTGGTTTTTCAGTGGGCCCGTATAAACGAACATCATATATACCATTCAAGTGTTTGCATTAATTAAAATACTAGTCTATTTTAGAAGACGTGTATTGACCTCTTTTTGTTCCTATACCAGATTTGAATTGACGCAACTTGACAATGAGCTAGGCCCTTGGTCATCCCCCAGCTCTCGTTATGTTCAGAAAAAGAGCTGTGTTTGTTTAAAAAAAAGAAACAGCCCAAAAGAGCACTTTGTCTCTAATTGTTTTCATGGAAGATGAACTTGAGATATAATATGTCTTAATTTCCAGATTGAACCCCAGGTGTTTCTTTTGTCCTAGTTTAATCTTTTTTTAGTACCTACAGATTATGGGGGCATTATTTTCTTTATGTTGGAACTCTGAGCTAGCTTCCACCCCTTTTTTGTTCAGAAAAAGAGCTGTTTGTTCAGGAAAATAAACAAAATTGAGCACTTTAAATGTTTCTAATTGTTTTTGCATTATGTATTCTGCTTAAAATCATCCTAAAACTAAGCACATAGGACTTTTTATTGCTTTATATGAAATTAATGTGAAAACAAACATATCAAAATGTATCGCAGAATTTCAGAAAAGCTGCCGCAAAATCTAGCATTTTTGGCCGCATGAATTCACAAAAGAATGTGGAGGGACTGCCTTGTCCTTGAACCTCAGAAACTTGGCCTGGGCCTGTCACCTGGGCCGGTGGTGGGTTT